CAATCGGTTAATAGGCACCACACGCCTCTAAGTGTGTGGGCTATTAAATGATATGTTGTTCGGTTCCCGAACGGCCCGCAAAGGTGCCGTTCGTGAAACGAAAGGAATCAGCTATCTGCGTTCGGCAGATAGCCCAGGCAGGCAATACATGATTAACATTGTATTACATTACACGCTATAACACACAATAGGAATCCCATACCGGCAACCCTTAAAGAGACAGTACAAAATAATGTCCAAGTGGCTAGGTTTGCCACAGTCCTCTCTGCCTATTCCTCTGCAGCTCTCCTTCCAGGCAGGTATCGTCCCCTCTGCCTATTCCTCTGCAGCTCTCCTTCCAGGCAGGTATCGTCCCCTCTGCCTATTCCTCTGCAGCTCTCCTTCCAGGCAGGTATCGTCCCCCTCTGCCTATTCCTCTGCAGCTCTCCTTCCAGGCAGGTATCGTCCCCTCTGCCTATTCCTCTGCAGCTCTCCTTCCAGGCAGGTATCGTCCCCTCTGCTTATTCCTCTGCAGCTCTCCTTCCAGGCAGGTATCGTCCCCTCTGCCTATTCCTCTGCAGCTCTCCTTCCAGGCAGGTATCGTCCCCTCTGCCTATTCCTCTGCAGCTCTCCTTCCAGGCGGGTATCGTCCCCTCTGCAGCTCTCCTTTCAGGCGGGTATCGTCCACTCTGCAGCTCTCCTTCCAGGCAGGTATCACCCCCTCTGCCTATTCTGCTGCATCTTTGCTTACAGTGTTTATAGTTATTGCCTTTACAAAGGCAATGAATGCTCTCAGGCATAGCTCTTTTGATTTATCCCAGGGCTAAAAGGATCCTTACACTGGGATCCTTACAAATCTACACAGGACACATGTTGCAAATGGAACTAACATACAAAACTTAATTTTTCTTGGTACTAGCCGATCTGTTAATTACATATAGATTACTGTAACAATTCAATAAAAATGCAGAGTCAAATCACATTAGACAACATACAGGAACTTATAATAACATAATGACATATTTACAACGAGGTTGGAAAGACAATAAGCAACAGAAAATATTTCTCCGCCTGCAAGATTAGCAATATGTAAATCTACCCAAATATGCAAATTAGCGAGGCTTGCTATTCAGGTAGTGCATACAGTGGTTGCTAGATACTTGCAACCAACAGCTCCACAGCCAAATCCACCAAGTTGATTGCAAGCATTATCAAGAAAGGAGAGCAAACTAACATTTAACCCCAAACAACCATATCACACACATACCCTGCACCCACAATGGACACAGGGTGACGTAAACATAGGACTCATCCAGATACCTAATTTCATTGTCCATCTTAAGCTCTCCGTAATGGTGACTGCCATCACAATACGGGGTTAATACAGCATAGTGTGCAGTTAATATAGCATGGTTAGGGGTTAATACAGCATAATGTGCAGGTAATATAGCATGGTTAGGGGTTAATACAGCATAATGTGCAGTTAATATAGCATGGTTAGGGGTTAATACAGCATAGTGTGAAGTTAATATAGCATGGTTAGGGGTTAATACAGCATAGTGTGAAGTTAATATAGCATGGTTAGGGGTTAATACAGCATGGTGTGAAGTTAATATAGCATGGTTAGGGGTTAATACAGCATGGTGTGAAGTTAATATAGCATGGTTAGGTTAGTTACATAATGTGCAGTTAATATAGCATGGTTAGGGGTTAATACAGTATAATGTGCATTATAGCATGGTTAAGGGTTAATACAGCGTAATGTGCAGTTAATATAGCATGGTTAAGGGTTAATACAGCATAGTGTGCAGTTAATATAGCATGGTTAGGGGTTAATACAGCATAATGTGCAGTTAATATAGCATGGTTAAGGGTTAATACAGCATAGTGTGTAGTTAATATAGCATGGTTAGGGGTTAATACAGCATAGTGTGCGGTTAATATAGCATGGTTAAGGGTTAATACAGCGTAATGTGCAGTTAATATAGCATGGTTAGGGGTTAATACAGCATAATGTGCAGGTAATATAGCATGGTTAGGGGTTAATACAGCATAATGTGCAGTTAATATAGCATGGTTAGGGGTTAATACAGCATAATGTGCAGTTAATATAGCATGGTTAAGGGTTAATACAGCGTAATGTGCAGTTAATATAGCATGGTTAAGGGTTAATACAGCATAGTGTGCAGTTAATATAGCATGGTTAGGGGTTAATACAGCATAGTGTGCAGTTAATATAGCATGGTTAGGGGTTAATACAGCATAATGTGCAGTTAATATAGCATGGTTAGGGGTTAATACAGCGTAATGTGCAGTTAATATAGCATGGTTAAGGGTTAATATAGCATGGTTAAGGGTTAATACAGCATAGTGTGAAGTTAATATAGCATGGTTAGGGGTTAATACAGCATGGTGTGAAGTTAATATAGCATGGTTAGGGGTTAATACAGCATGGTGTGAAGTTAATATAGCATGGTTAGGGGTTAATATAGCATGGTTAGGGGTTAATACAGCATAATGTGAAGTTAATATAGCATGGTTAAGGGTTAATACAGCATAGTGTGCGGTTAATATAGCATGGTTAGGGGTTAATACAGCATAGTGTGCGGTTAATATAGCATGGTTAGGGGTTAATATAGCATGGTTAGGGGTTAATACAGCATAATGTGCAGTTAATATAGCATGGTTAGGGGTTAATACAGCATAGTGTGAAGTTAATATAGCATGGTTGGGGGTTAATACAGCATAGTGTGCAGTTAATATAGCATGGTTAAGGGTTAATACAGCATAATGTGCAGTTAATATAGCATGGTTAAGGGTTAATACAGCATAGTGTGAAGTTAATATAGCATGGTTAGGGGTTAATACAGCATAGTGTGAAGTTAATATAGCATGGTTAGGGGTTAATACAGCAAATGTGCAGTTAATATAGCACGGTTAGGGTTTAATACAGCATAATGTGCGGTTAATATAGCATGGTTAGGGGTTAATATAGCATGGTTAGGGGTTAATACAGCATAATGTGCAGTTAATATAGCATGGTTAGGGGTTAATACAGCATAGTGTGAAGTTAATATAGCATGGTTGGGGGTTAATACAGCATAGTGTGCAGTTAATATAGCATGGTTAAGGGTTAATACAGCATAATGTGCAGTTAATATAGCATGGTTAAGGGTTAATACAGCATAGTGTGTAGTTAATATAGCATGGTTAAGGGTTAATACAGCATAGTGTGAAGTTAATATAGTGAAAGAAGTTAATACAGTATAGTGTGAAGTATTATAGTATGGTTAGGGGTTAATACAGCAAATGTGTAAAGTTATTATAAATGTTAGGGCGTAATACAGCATAATAAAAGTAAGTTAATATAGCATGGTTAGGGGTTAATACAGTATAGTGTGTAGTTAATATAGCATGGTTAGGGGTTACAGCATAGTGTGAAGTTAATATAGCATGGTTAGGGGTTATTACAGCATAATGTGCAGTTAATATAGCATGGTTAGGGGTTAATACAGCATAATGTGCAGTTAATATAGCATGGTTAGGGGTTAATACCGCATACTGTGCAGTTAATATAGCATGGTTAGGGGTTAATACAGCATAATGTGCAGTTAATATAGCATGGTTAGGGGTTAATATAGCATGGTTAGGGGTTAATACAGCATAGTGTGAAGTTAATATAGCATGGTTAGGGGTTAATACAGCATAATGTGCAGTTAATATAGCACGGTTAGGGGTTAATACAGCATAGTGTGAAGTTAATATAGCACAGTTAGGGGTTAATACAGCATAGTGTGAAGTTAATATAGCATGGTTAGGGGTTAATACAGCATAGTGTGAAGTTAATATAGCATGGTTAGGGGTTAATACAGCATAGTGTGAAGTTAATATAGCATGGTTAAGGGTTAATACAGCATAATGTGCAGTTAATATAGCATGGTTAGGGGTTAATATAGCATGGTTAGGGGTTAATACAGCATAATGTGAAGTTAATATAGCATGGTTAGGGGTTAATACAGCATAGTGTGCGGTTAATATAGCATGGTTAGAGGTTAATACAGCGTAGTGTGAAGTTAATATAGCATGGTTAGGGGTTAATACAGCATAGTGTGAAGTTAATATAGCATGGTTAAGGGTTAATACAGCATAATGTGCAGTTAATATAGCATGGTTAGGGGTTAATACAGCATAGTGTGAAGTTAATATAGCATGGTTAGGGGTTAATACAGCATAGTGTGAAGTTAATATAGCATGGTTAGGGGTTAATACAGCATAGTGTGAAGTTAATATAGCATGGTTAGGGGTTAATACAGCATAGTGTGAAGTTAATATAGCATGGTTAAGGGTTAATACAGCATAATGTGAAGTTAATATAGCATGGTTGGGGGTTAATACAGCATAATGTGCAGTTAATATAGCATGGTTAAGGGTTAATACAGCATAGTGTGTAGTTAATATAGCATGGTTAAGGGTTAATACAGCATAGTGTGAAGTTAATATAGCATGGTAAGGGTTAATACAGCATAATGTGCAGTTAATATAGCATGGTTAGGGGTAATACAGCATAATGTGCGGTTAATATAGCACGGTTAGGGTTTAATACAGCATACTGTGCAGTTAATATAGCATGGTTAGCGGTTAATATAGCATAGTGTGAAGTTAATATAGCATGGTTAGGGGTTAATACAGCATAGTGTGCAGTTAATATAGCATGGTTAGGGGTTAATACAGCATAGTGTGCAGTTAATATAGCATGATTAAGGGTTAATACAGCATAATGTGAAGTTAATATAGCATGGTTAAGGGTTAATAAAGCATGGTTAGGGGTTAATACAGCATAGTGTGAAGTTAATATACCATGGTTAGGGGTTAATACAGTACAGTGTGCAGTTAATATAGCATGGTTAGGGGTTAATACAGTAGGTGTAATGTGTCACACAGACATTGCTGTAAAAATGCTTTAATCAATTATTACCCATTATGTCTGAATAATGATATTTTTTGGTTCCTTTTCCTGATGTAGAGAAGCCGGGCAGTTGTCCTTTGGACGTGGATTACCCACGATGTGACTCGGTGAATGTAAACAATTTGAAGAACGAATGTTGGACAGAGAGAGACTGCAAGGGGGACAGAAAGTGCTGCTTTTCTGGCTGTCAGAAACAGTGCCTCCTGCCTCTGAAAGGTGTGGAACCTGACACATAAAACGTACTACTGCCATGTTTGGAATGGTCTGAATGTCACTTATTGACACAATAGTCTATAGTGTACATAATGTAACAAAGCACTAAAATGTGACAAGCTGAGAATGCCTATCTAGCATTAATGTTGTCTATGTACTATATTGTTAAAGTATTGTAGCCGTATTAGTCCAGTGATGTAGATGTAAAAAACAGATAACATTTGTATTTTGTAATACTATTTTCTATCAAACCTGTGTCTTATCTGCGCGTATGTCGCTCTAACCCCTTTATCACAACTCAACTTTGAATCCAATGTGTCGTCTTGCTCAGAAATGCTTTAGACTTGAGAAAGCGAGGTTCTCCAGAAAGCTTGCCACTAAAAAAATGTTGTTAGTTCAATCAAAATGATATTACAAATTGTATCTGTTTTTTACATCTACTATATAGTTACATAGTAAAATAGACTGAAATGGTGTAAACGCCACCAATTTCAGCCGATCACCTACCGGTTACTATTGCTGCTGTTGTAACCAAAAGAAAGTGATTTCCAATTTTCTCACAAATTGAGGAACAAAATCCTTGACTGTAAAATGTCCGATTTCTCCTTGGATCAACCAGCTTTTACCCCACATATTAAATATTGTATTCTTGAATATTCTGCATCTGAAAATCCTTACAAAACATAATTTTGAATAAACATTTTAAACAGAGAATTCCTCACGCTATATTCCTCTTCTTAACTGAAGTTGAAATGGGTGACTTTTTACCCTGTCTATAGTCCTATGAATGTACAGTTTAAAAGAGTCCTATTTGTAATGGCTTTGTTTATATTTATATAATATTATCATATCCATTCTGAGTTAACTTTTTAAAGTAAATAACAGTTTGTTTTCTTAGGCTTTCTTCATAACTAAAATCTTCAATTTCCATAATACATTTTGTAGCCCATCTGAACCCTCTTTGTAGTTCCATTACATTCGTATTTACATCAGGTGCCCAAAATTGTAATGTATACCTGAGGTGGGTTTTTCTCATTGATTTACATAGACATAGAATTATTCCATCTTTTTATACTTGACAATACCTTACTGGCCTTAACAACTGCTGCCTGACATTGTGCCTTGTCTATTGTTACTCTTAAGTCCATTTCATCTATTCTTTTCCCTAACTCAGTTTCATATAGGGTATAAGTCACTTGTGTATTCCACATCAGAAATGCACTAATTTATGTTTATCTTCATTAAATCTCATCTGCCCCCTGGCTGCCCATGACACTAATATGTCTAAATCCTTTTGCAGTAATGTTATATCCCGCTCACACTTTATTATCATACCTAGACTTTCATAATCTACAAACACTGACACAAGATCCTTTATAAACAAATTAAAGAGTAATAGACCCAGGATAAAACCCTGAGACAATCCATTCCACTCCATGAACGTGATCATTTTCCTTTTACAGCTACTCTCTGTACTGTATCTAAGCAAGTGTTCTATCCAATCACACAAGTTTCCATATAAACCAACTGCTTTTAATTTATACAGTAACCTTTTGTGTGGAACTGTATGAAATGTCTTAGCAAAATCCAAATAGATCACATCCATTAGAACATCACAATCTATATTTCTACTAAATTCTTCATAGAACACAATTTAGTTAGTTTGGCATGAACTGTCTTTCATAAAACCATAGTGATCCCTGCTAATGGTATTACTTTTCAAAATGAATTCTTGAATATTATCCCTTAACAGACCTTCAAATTATTTCACAATCACTTATGTCAAGTTAACAAGTTTGTAGTTTCCGGGTTGAGCTTTTGAAACATTTTTAAATATAGGCACCACATCTGCTTTTTTTCCAATCCTCTGATTCTATTCCTGAAAGCATAGATCCTGAAATATTACAGCGATATGAATAATATTTCTACACTAAGCTCCCTAGGTACTCATGGGTGAATACCATGTAGCCCTGGGGCTTTGTTTATAATTTATTTAATTGTGGCAACACTCTGTTCAATGTTATGTCTGTGGTTAGGAAATTATTTGAAGGACTGCCAAGAGATAATATTCAGGAATTACATTTGTATGAATGATTAAGGATGTGCAATTCATTTCATTGTCTGAATTCAGAAATTTTAGAAACATAGAAACATAGAATGTTACGGCAGATAACAACCATCTAGTCTGCCCAATATTCTAAGTACTTTCATTAGTCCCTGGCCTTATCTTATAGTTAGGATAACCTTATGCCTATCCCACGCATGCTTAAACTCCTTTACTGTGTTAACCTCTACCACTTCAGCTGGAAGGCTATTCCATGCATCCACTACCCTCTCAGTAAAGTAATACTTCCTGATATTATTTTTATACCTTTGTCCCTCTAATTTTAAGTCTATGTCCTCTTGGACTAACCAAATTTCCAAACTGAGAATTAACTAATCCAAACTGAAACTAAATGTTTCTGATGCATTCGTTTTGAAAATGATACCAAATTAGGGAGTTATACCAAGCCGCAGAAAGATCAATATTAAGGAAGTGGCTTGTAATTTCGATTTTTAAGCTGTTTAGTAGATCGATCGCTAATTCGGTATCCATAAATATCCCACAGAAGAAAAGCAAATCAGAGAGTTATCTACTAAAGTGAAAGATTACATTTTGGAAAAAAAGCTATTTTCAAGGTTTGATCTTTCAGCTGTTTAGTTGATAGCTCCCTAATTTGGTATCCTTAAATAGACCATGTAATCACACATAAGGATACTAAATTAAGGGACCACTATAGTGCCCTGAGGGTGCCCCCACCCTCAGGGTCCCCCTCCCGCCCGGCTCTGGAAAGGGGAAAGGGGTTTAAACTTACCTTTTTCCAGCGCTGGGCGGGGAGCTCTCCTCCTCCGATCCTCCTCCGTTCCTCCTCCTGGGCTGAATGCGCACGCGCGGCAAGAGCTGCGTGCACATTCAGACGGTCACATAGGAAAGCATTCACAATGCTTTCCCATGGACATTGCGTGCTCTCACTGTGAAAATCACAGTGAGAAGCACGCAAGTGCCTCTAGTGGCTGTCAATGAGACAGTCGCTAGAGGATTTGGGGGAAGGCTTAACCCATTCATTAACATAGCAGTTTTTCTGAAACTGCTATAATTATGAAAAAATGGGTTAACCCTAGAAGGACCAGGCACCCAGACCACTTCATTAAGCTGAAGTGGTCTGGGTGCCTAGAGTGGTCCTTTAAGGTGTTGTCTACTAAACATTAAAATGAAGGGATGGGTTTTTCTTAATGTTGCTCTTTCCGCTGTAAATAACTCCCTATTTTGCTTACGTGGGATTACCATAAGGACACCAACTACCAAATAATGGAGTTATCTGCTAAACAGTTTGGTACTTTTCTTGGTAACTTTGTGACTGACACCTTCATTCATTACCTATAGGGAATGAAGTATTTCCAAAAATAAAATAATTTCTAATGTATCGGTGTCACGATTCCACGCACAGCAGTATAATGTATCGGTGTCACGATTCCACGCACAGCAGTATAATGTATCGGTGTCACGATTCCACGCACAGCAGTATCATGTATCGGTGTCACGATTCCACGCACAGCAGTATAATGTATCGGTGTCACGATTCCACGCACAGCAGTATAATGTATCGGTGTAACGATTCCACGCACAGCAGTATAATGTATCGGTGTAACGATTCCACGCACAGCAGTATAATGTATCGGTGTAACGATTCCACGCACAGCAGTATAATGTATCGGTGTAACGATTCCACGCACAGCAGTATAATGTATCGGTGTAACGATTCCACGCACAGCAGTATAATGTATCGGTGTAACGATTCCACGCACAGCAGTATAATGTATCGGTGTAACGATTCCACGCACAGCAGTATAATGTATCGGTGTAACGATTCCACGCACAGCAGTATAATGTATCGGTGTAACGATTCCACGCACAGCAGTATAATGTATCGGTGTAACGATTCCACGCGCAGCAGTATAATGTATCGGTGTAACGATTCCACGCACAGCGGTATAATGTATCGGTGTAACGATTCCACGCACAGCATTATAATGTATTGTTGTAACGATTCCACGCACAGCATTATAATGTATCGGTGTCACGATTCCACGCACAGCAGTATAATGTATCGGTGTCACGATTCCACGCACAGCAGTATAATGTATCGGTGTAACGATTCCACGCACAGCAGTATAATGTATCGGTGTAACGATTCCACGCACAGCAGTATAAAGTATCGGTGTCACGATTCCACGCACAGCAGTATAATGTATCGGTGTAACGATTCCACGCACAGCAGTATAATGTATCGGTGTAACGATTCCACGCACAGCAGTATAATGTATCGGTGTAACGATTCCACGCACAGCAGTATAATGTATCGGTGTAACGATTCCACGCACAGCAGTATAATGCATCGGTGTAACGATTCCACGCACAGCAGTATAATGCATCGGTGTCACGATTCCACGCACAGCAGTATAATGCATCGGTGTCACGATTCCACGCACAGCAGTATAATGCATCGGTGTCACGATTCCACGCACAGCAGTATAATGCATCGGTGTAACGATTCCACGCACAGTTTAATTTATTATTTTTGTAGTGCTGATGTTATGTGTTTTATGTTCATATGTGGAGAGTAATGTGTAGGCCAAGCTTTGAGATGCAGTTACTTAATAACCGTCACGTAATTTTATAATATTTCATATTATTACTATTTTTTTTAAATATTTTTTTTACTGACTTTACCATATTGCAAACAATCTAAAGACAATTAAAATGACTAACAGCTAATAACCATATAGCGGGTGATTTGTTAATATAAATTAACTGGCAATTATTGAAATAATAAACTAAAACACATTGTCTTAACAGTGGAAATTAATCCCAGAATTCTAAACAGAAATTTTAGTTAGAAAAAGTCAGAAATTCCCAAACTTTTTAATTTTTTATCAATTTTTCCAATCCTCAGTTTAGTGTGTAACTGATGTTTTTGTGTGTTTATTAGTCCGTCTTTCTGATGACATTTTTCTCCAGTTTGGTCTCAGCGTTAAGTCATCATTAAGTTGTGTTTAATTGATTTATTCCATTAGAATTGGCTGAGGTTATATATCGATCTATCTCAGACCCAAACATGATGCTCTTTCCCAAAAACATGAATTAATCCAATAATCTGGGGCGGAATGAAAATGAAAGCGTCTCTACTTGTCTTCCTCTGCTGTGTAGGAAACCTTGATCCCATTCATTATTCTAGCTTTCATGTTACTGTAAGAATAAAGAAAACATAAATATGTTCAAAAAGTGTGACTTGCTGGAATTTTACCGTTTAGGCCCAAATAGCTCAATGTGAAAATTCTCAGTTTTAGCAGCCCGGCAAAAATGGGATAAAATATCAGTTCTTGGAATTCCCACTTTATTTTTTATCATTGTTAAATTATGTGGATCTTTAGTAAATCCTTCTTATATTCAGCCCCAATAGAATTGTCCAGTATCCGCCTATTTACAGAAAAACAAGGAAGTCTGAATTCTGCCGGATTCAGTTGTATGTGAGTTTTAGTAATATTGTGAATCTTCCGGGTCCTATAATTAGTGCAGGATTTGGGTGTGAAATACTGATTATAATCCAGACACCGAATGCATCCTGGCGATTGCTGCAGATCGCTCGGGCCGGAGTTGGTTTTAGTAAATATGAGAATTGCCTTTAATATCCGCTGTTTAGTGAATAATCCTGCAGGTGTCCATTCTGGAACACAAGATGAGAACAGAAATAAATTATAAAATGTTCAATTTACTGAATATCGAATTTATCTTGGAATGTTTGTATTTACTGTCACCTGAATAACCTGCTCTCATCCTACAGCTAAGCTGGACTCCTGTCCTTCCTATGATCCCTCCATATGTGCACGCATCCGCCTTTTACCCAGTAACTGCCATATGGACAACCAATGCCAATGAACTGAAAGATGTTGCTGTTTCTGCACTCGTTCCTATTGCAATGCGACAGTGACTGGTGAGTGTGGCTCCATGCTGCCCCCTGTGGATTACAGTGTCAGCGCATGTCAGGATTCCCCTTGCAATCAGTTACATCACTAAGTGTCACCATTTATGACAAAAAAAAACCAACCTAAGACAGATTTGTGATAGTGGGTGAAACAATTGTCTTTCTACACCAAGCCCACCAAAGTACCTACCAATAAGAAATAAAATGTCTATTGCTGGCTATGATTGCAGAAGCAAACCAAATCACGACAAATAAACACCAAGGATGCCGGTGAAAATCCAGCAAGAATAGCTCCATGTTATGTATCACTGCCTTTCATTGCCCCCAATAACTGCTTGACCTCAACTATACCCCACAATAGGCAATCCAAACCGCAGCTTTAGTGCCAGAACTTTATCATCTCCCCAACTCCACCGGAAGAAGGTTCACCTGCAGAAAGGTTGGCCAAACACCACTGGCAGTCACTAACTTCCTTGATATCTTATCAATATTGGCCTCCATTTAATATAGTTAGATAAGCGTTTCAAATGATTTTTTTTTATTTATTTTTTTAATATTAAACTGTCAAGATATATCATATGTAAAAAAAAAAAATCAAGTTCTGTTCTGAGTTAGGTGGTTCTCTCAAGTTTAGAACTAAAGTCCAGACATTGAATGATTTGGGTGCCTCAGACAAGTTATAAGGTTCCATAGATAATCTCCATGTTTTATATTGTTTATACTGTGCATGTGTGTCTGAGATACTAACAGACGATCTCGGTTACAGTGAAATCTGGATTTTGTCCTTCTAAAAAGTCAGACAATGTGGCAGCTACTGAAGAATCCTTAGTCAAACCGTTTCCCAAACCAAAATGTCAGAGCGACAAGGACTGTTCTGGACTAATGAAGTGTTGCGGTGGGAGATGTGTAAAGCCAATAAAAGGTAATATTATTAGATAAAGCTGTTTATTTATTCAAACACGGAAATTACCATCCTGACAAAAATCCCACAGAGTCCCTGCATCTCTTAAATAAATGTATACATTAATTCAGACACAATTCGACGTAGACACTGTTTACTCACTAAACTGATAATGCAAAGTAGATTTATAATTTAAGGAAACGTAGCCTTTTAACAATATAATTTATTGGACTGATTATGTAGCAGGAACCTGACTCATTAATTTAAGACATTTAGGGGATAATCTCTGAACGTTTCCCAGAATTAAACTAAATAAAAACCAAAATTGCAGTTTTAAAGGGACACTCTGGGCACATCAGCTCATTGAAGTGTCCTGGGTGCAATGTCACATGTCCCTTAACCCTGCAGAGGTAATTATTGCACTTTTGGGAAATAATTGAATAATGCTTTCCTATGGGGAAATCCCAATGTGAGCGTGGCCATTGCTGCGCATGCGCATTAAGTCTCCCCAGCCGGCTGATGTTGGCGGGGGAGGAGCGTGGGTGGACATCGCCGTGGGACATCGCTTCGGAGGGGGCGAGGGATGGCGGCACTGAAGGATTATATAGTGTCAGGAAAACAGCTTTGTTTTCCTGGAACTATAGGATCCCTTTAGGCCAGATTAGAAGATTTCACCTGAATTTGGCCGTTTGGAGTTTAGTAAATAACCCCCAATATATCGGCATTGATATGAATGAAGCCAGTTAAAGGGAAACTCTCACTTCTTTAGAATTTACACCATTTAAAAAAACACTGTAAATTACCTAGAACTTGTGCTAATCTTTTCTTAATAAGATTCTCAATTTTCTTAAATTTACCTAAAACATTTAACAAATGACACTAGTTAATACAGGAAGTAAATCAGGATTCAGGACAAGTTACTGGAAACCATCTTCCTTTTGTCTCTCGGATACTTTATGGACAGGTGTTTTCTGACTGTCGCTGCATCATTTTCCATTATATAATAATTTGACCAGACTCTGAGATGTACTACACTGGGCAGAGGATGATGGGTGTTATAATAACACAGGTATGTCCTTGTTATATGTTAAAAGTATTCCGTGTCCTTCTCTACAGAGCACGCCGGCTTCTGTCCAATCAACGAGGAGATATCTTGCATTATAACGCCAGATAAACCACTCTGCAGCACTGACGCGGATTGCAAGAAGAACGAGAAATGCTGTCTGTCTAAATCTAAAAACCGCATGCAGTGTGTACCGGCATTGAAAGGTAAATCCTAGGACCAGCACTGGCTAATGGCACACTTACTGAGTATACTGGGCTAATGGCACACTTACTGGGTACACTGGGTAATGACACACTTACTGAGTACACTGGGTAATGACACACTTACTGGGTACACTGGGTAATGACACACTTACTGGGTACATTGGGTAATGGCACACTTACTGGGTACACTGGGTAACGGCACACTTACTGGGTACACTGGGCTAATGGCACACTGGGTACACTGGGCTAATGGCACACTTACTGGGTACACTGGCTAATGGCACACTTACTGGGTACACTGGGTAATGGCACACTTACTGGGTACACTGGCTAATGGCACACTTACTGGGTATACTGGGCTAATAGCACACTTACTGGGTACACTGGGTAACGGCACACTTACTGGGTACACTGGGTAACGGCACACTTACTGGGTACACTGGGTAACGACACACTTACTGGGTACACTGGGCTAATGGCACACTTACTGGGTACACTGGGCTAATGACAGACTTACTGGGTACACTGGGTAATGACACACTTACTGGGTACACTGGGTAATGACACACTTACTGGGTATACTGGGTAATGGCACACTTACTGGGTACACTGGGTAATGACACACTTACTGGGTACACTGGGTAACGGCACACTTACTGGGTACACTGGGTAATGACACACTTACTGGGTACACTGCGTAATGACACACTTACTGGGTACACTGGGTAATGGCACACTTACTGGGTACACTGGGTAATGACACACTTACTGGGTACACTGGGTAATGGCACACTTACTGGGTACACTGGGTAATGGCACACTTACTGGCTACACTGGGCTAATGGCACACTTACTGGGTACACTGGGTAATGGCACACTGGGTACACTGGGTAATGGCACACTTACTGGGTACACTGGGTAATGGCACACTTACTGGGTACACTAGGTAATGGCACACTTACTGGGTACACTGGGTAATGACACACTTACTGGGTACACTGGGTAATGGCACACTTACTGGGTACACTGGCTAATGGCACACTTACTGGGTACACTGGGTAATGACACACTTACTGGGTACACTGGGTAATGACACACTTACTGGGCACACTGGGTAATGACACACTTACTGGGTACACTGGGTAATGGCACACTTATTGGGTACACTGGGTAATGACACACTTACTGGGTACACTGGGTAATGACACACTTACTGGGTACACTGGGTAATGGCACACTTACTGGCTACACTGGGTATTGGCACACTTACTGGCTACACTGGGCTAATTGCACACTTACTGGGTACACTGGGTAATGACACACTTACTGGGTACACTAGGTAATGGCACACTTACTGGGTACACTGGGTAATGACACACTTACTGGGTACACTGGGTAATGACACACTTACTGGGTACACTGGGTAATGGCATACTTACTGGGTACACTGGGTAATGACACACTTACTAGGTACACTGGGTAATGGCACACTTACTGGGTACACTGGGTAATGACACACTTACTGGGTACACTGGGTAATGGCACACTTACTGGGTACACTGGGTAATGACACACTTACTGGGTACACTGGGCTAACGGCACACTTACTGGGCACACTGGGTAATGACACACTTACTGGGTACACTGGGTAATGGCACACTTACTGGGCACACTGGGTAATGACAGACTTACTGGGTACACTGGGTAATGACATACTGGGTACACTGGGTAATGGCACACTTACTGGGTACACTGGGTAATGACACACTTACTGGGTACACTGGGTAATGACACACTTACTGGGTACACTGGGTAACGGCACACTTACTGGGTACACTGGGTAACGACACACTTACTGGGTACACTGGGTAATGACACACTTACTGGGTACACTGGGTAATGGCACACTTACTGGGTACACTGGGTAATGACAGACTTACTGGGTACACTGGGTAATGGCACACTTACTGGGTACACTGGGTAATGGCACACCCTACCAAGTACACTGGGTACGACACACTTACTGGCACACTGGGTAATCCACACACTTACTGGGTACACTTGCACCCACCACACTTACTGGCACACTGGGTAACGGCACACTTACCGGGTACACTGGGTAATGACACACTTACTGCACACTGCGCACGACACACTTTACTGGGTACACTGGGTAATGGCACACTCTACTGGGTACACTGGGTACGACACACTTACTGGGTACACCGGGTAATGGCACACTTACTGGGTAACACTGGGCTAATGACACACTTACTGGGTACACTGGGTAATGACACTAACTGGTAATGGCACACTTACTGGGTACACTAGGTAATGGCACACTTACTGGGTACACTGGGTAATGACACACTTACTGGGTACACTGGGTAATGACACACTTACTGGGTACACTGGGTAATGGCATACTTACTGGGTACACTGGGTAATGACACACTTACTAGGTACACTGGGTAATGGCACACTTACTGGGTACACTGGGTAATGACACACTTACTGGGTACACTGGGTAATGGCACACTTACTGGGTACACTGGGTAATGACACACTTACTGGGTACACTGGGCTAACGGCACACTTACTGGGCACACTGGGTAATGACACACTTACTGGGTACACTGGGTAATGGCACACTTACTGGGCACACTGGGTAATGACAGACTTACTGGGTACACTGGGTAATGACATACTGGGTACACTGGGTAATGGCACACTTACTGGGTACACTGGGTAATGACACACTTACTGGGTACACTGGGTAATGACACATGTGACAGAACCATCTGTCTGCTGGATTTTTGCCCGTTCGTCTGTTTGTCCCCGTTCGTATGAATGGCTGGTTTCTATAGCCCAGCCATTCGAATGACTCTTTTGTCCCGAACAAATCTGCCGAACGAACGGCCACCCAAGTGAGGAGTGTGCTGCAGGTTAACGAAGTGATCACCATTAGAACGTTGTGGTTAACCGCAGACACTTCTCAGTTAAACCGAACTCAGGGTGGTCGTCATTCGTATGTCGACCACGAGGCAGCGGCCATTTTAAATCATGCGAACGCTCAGCGGTGTTTGGCTCTATTTCTATGGAACGGAAAACGGACACTTTTTCTGTCGAACACCGCTGAAACAAGGGAACGTCTGGCTGCCTCCACGAAAGCATGCGAACACCGGCTGTTCGGGAGATTGAGAGCATACGAAAGACTTCACCCAGATAGCCCTCCCATGGAGTCATTCGTATACCGAAAGACTGTAAGAACTTTGACTCCATGGCGATTGAACTATGTGTGTGGGATCTGAGCGCTATTCACTAATAATATGCACTCAGATCCAGGCTATCTGGGGACATGTAATACGAATGGGAAATGTTCAGTTTTCATGTAGTTATGCATTTTTATGTCTTTTATTATTTTCTGTTTAAAATGGCGACTGTCCTTGTCCTGGAGTTAATTGAGTTACTTGGTAATTAACTCCAGGACAGAGGGGAGGGAATCAGAATGCACTGTGGGTAAGATATGTGACTGTGTGTCAAGAATGTCCTTCTATCTGTCTGTACTTTAAGTCTTCCATTTGGTCCCCTAGGGGAGTGTCCACCAGGTGGGAGACCTGCATAAATACGGGCAGGTAGCCCACAGTAAACCCAGATCTTATTTGACCCTCAATGCGGGGCTTCTGTCTCGTTATTGGGGGGATTTCTTCTTCACGTTTAGAGACTGCTGGATGGAACGAAAGCCGCTTTGGGGATATTATTGTTCGACGGTTCCTATCAGTTCGTATATTGCCGTTCGGGAGTTTGGAGCCGTTCGTGGATTTCGATCGGGAGATTGCCGCTTCCCCTGCATTTGGTTCGTGGGTTACAGAGTAAGCGAACAGAGACTGTACTGCAGCCGGGGAAGGTTTACTAAACGGCGATTTGGCTTAAAGACACGGGAGGTGTCTTAACAACACACTTACTGGGTACACTGGGTAACGACACACTTACTGGGTACACTGGGTAACGGCACACTTACTGGGTACACTGGGTAACGGCACACTTACTGGGTACACTGGGTAACGACACACTTACTGGGTACACTGGGTAACGACACACTTACTGGGCACACTGGGTAACGACACACTTACTGGGCACACTGGGTAACGACACACTTACTGGGCACACTGGGTAACGACACACTTACTGGGTACACTGGGTAACGACACACTTACTGGGTACACTGGGCTAACGGCACACTTACTGGGTACACTGGGTAATGGCACACTTACTGGGTAAACTGGGTAATGGCACACTTACTGGGTACACTGGCTAATGGCACACTTACTGGGTACTGTAACGAACCGTTTTGCACAAAAGGGGAAAAAACCGCTTAGACGATAATCCCCTTTCAGAGACAGGCACAGCTACTGTAGAATCACCAAAACTCATGAACTGAATACAAGTGAATGCTCCAAACTCCCGAACGGCATACAAGGGAATGCTCCAAACACTCGAACTGCATACAAGGGAATGGTCCAAACACTCGAACTGCATACAAGTGAATGCCCCAAACTCTCGAACTGCATACAAGTGAATGCTCCAAACCTCAACAGCATACAAGGGAATAAAGGAGCAGCACCCAAATACAGTCTAACAGGAACATACGAATTAGTTGCTACCAGACGAATAACAGGAAAAGTTCCTGCCGCTTACACTCCTGGCAATCAGTCTCTAACAGCATACAGTGAATCCCCCCAAGAACAAGACAAGGCTCCGTGTTGAGGGTCAAGCAGTGGTCTGTTTAATGAGGGCTACCTGCCCGGCTTTTATGCAGGTCTCCAACCTGGTGGACACTCTCCTAGGGGACCAGATGGGAGACTGTGACAAGGGACAGACAAGTATACAAATAGGACACACAGTCACAGTATATTCCCACAATGCATCCTGGCTTCCTCCCCTCTGCCCTGGGAGATAATTGGGAAGTAATTCAATTATCTCCCAAGACAAAGGCAAACTCCATTACACACGTGGGAACACAAAACCAGGATACAAAACCAGTATTATACTTTAAAATACA